CACTGAGTAAATATCGTGACTTCCAGTTGTTTCCTTGGCTCCTACTTCAAAGTTGAGCTGGGGGCCTTGCGAAGGTTTCTGTTCTGAAGCTGGCTCCCCATGGGAGTGAGGTGACCTGTCACGATACTGAGGTGCAGTGGAAGGGGCAGGGAGGCGGAGGAGTTTCATTACTGGGAGCTGCTCAGAACAGCTCACTGAGAATTTTGCAGTGTCCCCAAGTAACGCCCTGCGCTGAAGCAAACCTCAAGGGCTAACTGAGCCAGGCAGAGGGGTTCCTGGTGCAGCAAGTTCTAGCTCCGCTCCTTTCAGTGCAGCACACCTGCCACCCTGCTGCATGTTGGCCCAGACTTGCTCTGCTGCAGATTCCTTGGAGCCTTTGACCGGGACCCAGTCAGCTAGCTGATGCGCTGTGACGTTGGAGCGGCAGCCACCCGTGAGTGATAGGAATGTGCCTTGCATCCCCTTTCGCTCCCTTGTTCATTGCCCTTCCCTCTCCCCCAGTCTTTCCTGCTCGTGGGTGTTCTTGGAAGTAAGGGCCAATGCCAGGGGTTTGAGAGGCTCAGGATGTCTGCATAGCTGGAACACCTGTCAGGGCTGATCGTTATTTGGCAGGCCTCTGTTTTGTGTGTCTGACTGCTGGAGGCACTGGATCGCCTCGCTGGCATGCCAAGTGTGCGAGAGGGAAAGTGACTTGCCAGAGCCCCTGTATGTGCTATAACTGCCCATTTCTGTGTGTGCCAGACTCATTCTCACGTGTCCCGTGGATGCTGGAGAAGATGCAGAACCCACAGAGGGCGAGACCGTGCAGTTAAATATGCGGATGTACTCGACTGCCTGATAAGCCTAAGCTGCTTGGGTAGTTGAGTTGAGTACTTGACTATTCACTTCTCCCTCCCCCTTGCTGCCTTTGATACAGAGGCAGCAAGCGGGAGGGCAGGAGCCGGTGCTGAGGGGAGCCAGCTTAAAAATTGGCTTCCCCTGGCACCATCTCCGTGGTGCCACCTGCTGCTGGGAACAGCATCTGCCTGCGGCCAGCCCAGGCCACTGCGAACAGTCCAGGCTCTACCCCTGCTGTAGCCCTGCAGGAGAGCCGCAGTGGGGGTAGCTAACCAAGACAGAGCACCTTCCTTTATCGCCTAATCTAGTAGTCACGTACAAATTGTATTGATGACCTGATTAGTCCATTAGCCGCCTCTTAACATTCTTAGTTGAATCTCCCCCATTGGTGGGGTGCAAGTTAACTTCCCCAAACCTGTGCAGGATTATTCCCAACAAGGCACTGTCTCATGCCTTCTCGAGGCTTGTATTGAGAGTCCCAAGTGATTTTCTGCCACTCCCCAGGAACTCTGTGCTTTGGAACAATACATTTTGCTGTCAGGAAGATGCATGGTTCAATACACAGTATGAAATGCTCCTTGAAATGTTGAATCCTGACTGGGTTTAGAACATTCCCTGACTTGATCACTGATGCTTAATCAAAAAACCCTGTCACTGCTGAAACTGGCTTGTTACTCATGTCCGATATTTCGTTGCCGGTAAGGCTAGCGCTGTAATTACAGCCGCAGTAAATCATAGGAGTGATGCAAAATAAGATGGCCTTTTTTCTATGCCTAAAGACCTAATCCAGGTGTCTGATATCACTGAAACACAAAGCCAGTCTTTTCAGTGGGCTGACTCGGTGACTGCCTTTCAGAGACCATCCTTTGTCGTGAATGTGCAGGTATCTATTTCTAGTTCTTCCCCGTTGATGCTGGCTCATGACAGCACTCTGAGCTCTCTGGAGGTGCGTGTTACTAGACCGAGGTTTGGCTTGTTTAGAAAGTAGAGCCTTGCTTGTTGCTTTCACTGCTTGACCATGCTTAGTGGCAGGGTCCCATGGCTGGATGTGCATTTTTGTCGCGTTACAACCACCATGCACCCTGCAGTCCTGCAGGTGGGTGTTAAGTGGGCACCGGGTGGATTCTGAATTTGAATGAAACTCTTGAATAAAGCAGATGCTATTGGAGCTGAGTTTTTGCTGGTCTTTCTAGCCCAGTGATTCCCAACTTGTGGCCCATGGACCCTTGAGGAGGGTCCACGAGGGCACTTCAGGGGAATTGTGGAAAGTTTTTAAAAGTAAGGATTGAGCCCATTGCTGTCCTGTCTCTCTCCCCCCCGCTCTATGGGTCATGGCTTGCTTTTGATCTTATTCCCCAGGCACTAAGGGAGTGAGGGGAAGGTGCTTGCATCCCGTGCATGCCTTACTCACCAGCCAGGCATGAGAGGCATGCAAGCACTTTTTCCCACACTCCCTTAGCTTCTGGAGAACGGGATCAAAAGCAAGTCATGTCGCAATGTGCATGGCTGCTGTCCCCTGCACTCCTGAAATTCCACCCTTGAGCTGGCAGCTCTAGAACTCCCTTTGGCCACAAGAGCCCCCTCGCTCTGCAGATGGGTAGGGGATGGGAGCTGAGGAAGCAGTGTGGGTGAATGGCAGCCATTGGGACCCAAGAAGCTCCGTGCCCTGCAATCCTGCATGTCCCTCAGCCCACGCTGAAGCTGACAAGCTGCGACTGTCCTTTGGAATTGGCTTATAAATGGGTCGGTCACTTTTACCCTTTTTTCCCTCTTTTGAATACGTCACCCCGCTCTTAACCGTTCAAGAGCAATTAGAGTGGCGGGAAGGGGTTAGGTGGGCTGTTGGCTCCACCTATCCATTTTTGCTAATATCTTTTTACTCAATAAAATCGTATGGCACCTCTGAGTTGGTACATTCCAACATGGACAAGCTGTATGATCTCTGTGCTGCTATATTGTGTAGATGACACGAACTCTTACACATTTCACATGATTATCAGGCAATGGAATGTTTGGAAACAGCTGTATTGTTTGGAGGGGCTGTAAAATTGTAATAGATTGTAAAGGGGTCCGTGTGCTCAAGAGAGGCTGGGAACCACTGCTCTAGTCCCTACCTGGAACAGGTCCGCGTTATCCAGCTAGCAGCGCTAGTCTGTGTGGCCAAGCAGGGCCTGTCCGGTAAGCGCTGCTCTTAAGTTGGTTCTGTCTTTGATTTGCCTGAATGATGCATTATCTCTGCACCTCTAGCCAGAGAGCTGACTCAGCATTTCAGTTGTGGTGGAGAGAGACTCTGATTTTAATACTTAGGGTTAAACTAATTGCCAGATCAGTTAGCTTGTTTTGCTGTCTCTTGTAGCCTAATTTTGAATCTGGAGATCTGGGCTAAAGACTTGTTTCCAGGCAACTTGCACGAAGCGATCAAGCTTCGGCTTCTACCCTTGCATTTGCTATTCAGTGTGTACTTCATCTCCCCTGTTCTTGAGCTAATTCACCAGCGTGTTGAATAGTCTCCTCTGGGCTCTAGCCTACCCCTCCTTTGTCACCACAGGAGACGTGTGATCTTGCATGCCTGCTGGTTGGAATTCAGTTGTCTTATGAATTATTGAAGATGTACCAAACGGTTTGGGAAGAACTTAATTGGCAAGCGTTAACTCCCCTTAAGCTATGTCTCTCCCTAATTCTGTCTGCTGCCTCCCTTCTTTTTGGGTGTCTGGAAATCGGAGTTCCTTACTGTCAGCTAGAGCAGCTCTAGGAGCAAACAGACTTCCCCATGGAATGGGCCTGAAACATTCACAAGTGGAAGCGGCTTCCCCAGTGTCGTGCTAGAAATAGGAATGTTAACATGTAGTCGAGACCACGATTAACTGATAAACCAAGGCCTTCATCTTATTGACTGCAGGCATCCTCCTCCCACCACCCACTGCTTCTGTATCAGAGGTAGCAAGGAGGGAGAGCGGACTCCCCACTCGCACCAGATCCACAGAGCTACCTGTGATAGAAAGGCAGCAGGTTGTGGGGAGGTAGGGGGGAGCAGATATACATGGAGAGCCGGCTTTTAGGTCACTCTCTTTGTGTGCTGGCTCCATGAAGCCACTCCCAACGCTGCTGTGTATCAGAGGCAGCAGCTGGAGTGTGGGGGGCAGGGGAGGCTGCCACGGAGCAGCCTCTGTCCTCAGTGGGCCCAGGCTCGCTGTGGGGGGAGGCTGCTCCGTGAGATGCTGGCACAGTCTTTGTCTGCAGAGAGCTCGGTCCTTCCTCCCTCCCTCCCTCCCTCCAGACTTAGGCTGTTGCCGCTGTAGTGCGGGGTGACGGGGCTTCCCCAGGATTGGGGCCGGAAGCGCACTCGCTGCCAGCCCCACCCCCGGGGACTATCGAATGGTCATACAACCACGAATATTATGTGCAAGTTACATGACTCTTCTGTTAATCACGATCGAACATCCCTAGCTAGAAATAATTTTCACCAAGGCCTCTGACTAATCCCAGTAGAAAGTCAGAGCAGCCTTTCGCAGCGTCCCTGAGAAGAAGCTGTTTCAGCACCTCTTTTTGCTAATCACGTGCAGGGACACAGTCTTGCTCCAGCGCACCAAGCCTGTGAGTCAGCCAGCGACAGCTGTAGTCTGCAGAGAGTGAATAGCTGTGCTTATGCCCTTACTGTGTAGGGCACTTCCCGTGTCCTCTGCACTCTGCAGACAGTTAACGACTTGAGTCTCCTGCTGGCCTGCAGTAGGACAGATGGGGAAACTGAGGCACGAAGGTCTGGCGGCTTGGCCAGGGTCATGGAGCAGGGTGGTAGCATAGGTGGGAGTAGAATCTAGATCTGCAATTGTAATGCTGGGGCTTGTTCTGCCTACGAGCGTGCTCGGCGCTGCACAGCTTATCTGTTGACCTCGGGGCACGTTGGAATAGGACATGTTGAGTAGTGCTGACTCCAGTTTACAGATGGGGAAGTCAAGTCACAGCGTGGAAGTGACTTGCCCATGGTCCCCAAGTCGGTGGCAGAGCCAAGATTAGACCAGGAGGGTCTGTGCCTGGGTGCAGTCTCCAATATACAGTATCCTGGGGAGGGGGGAGAATCTGCCTCCATCCTCTTCCTCAGCTGTGCTGCCTTCGCTGGCTCTGCCCACCAGCCTGCTCTCACTCCAAGACTGTTTCCACTGCAGGTAAATTGCCTGGAGCCTCACCCTCACCTTCCCGTCCTGGCCACCAGCGGGCTGGATCACGATGTCAAGATCTGGGCACCGACCGCGGAGGCGCCCACTGAGCTCGCTGGACTGAAGGAGGTGAGAGCTGGTGGTGACTGGTGATGCACACGCCCCTGGGTGCTGGCCTGCTGCTTGCGTGGCCCTTGGGATGAATTGTCGTAAGAACAGAGCAGCCGGCCTGGGTCAGCTCAGGGTCCTGGCTTCCGACAGCGCCCGATGCCGAGTGATTCGGTGGGAAAGGACAGAGCAGGCTGCCACTGAGCAATCCCGCCCTGTCTCTTAGATGACCCCTTGACCTTCCAAGTCACCAGCTGCCACTGGCGTCTGTTGTGTTGGGAGCCTTGAGTCGGCAGGGCGGCCAGGTAGCGACAGTCCCGTACCAGCAGCACCCAGGCAGGGTTCGGATGGGAGATATCCCAGAACCGCCCCGATGGCACAGGTGGCCCAGCCCTGGCGCTCTCCAGTGACTCACTGCCCGCCACTCCACACACTGTGGGGCCATGCTGTGAGAAGGGCAGTCCCTCGGGACGGGTACAACCAAAGGGCCTGCCCAGTCGGATCCCTGAGCTGCCCGACTGCATGTCAGACGTGGCCGTTCCGCTTCCCGGGACACTGGTGAGATGTTCACGTCCAGTCCCTCCTGCCCTGCCCTGTGTCGGGGGATGTAACAGACGTGTGTTTGTGCAAACATGTCACTGGTGGCTTTTTTAGCGCTTACGTGTTCACGTGCGGGGGCCAGGCAGGAGTCGGTGCTTGCCTGCATCTCTTTACTGCTGCCTCTGGGAGGCAGCCGGGATTAGGGGGAGAGAGCAGCTCTGTGGGAGTCTGTATGTGTACGGGCTCCTGCCAGCCCCTCTCCCCCATCCTGTCTCAGAGGGCAGGGGCACGGTGGATCTGCAGGAGCTGGCTTAAAAGTTAGGCTTCAGTTAGGATTAACTGAAGAGCCCAGGCTTATTGGTTAATCATGTAAACGGCGACATGCTCCCTTCCTGCTGGCGACCTCCCTGAGTTGGCTGCCGTAATGCTGGGGAAGGCTGAGGGATCTCTGACAGGACTGCAGCCTGATCCCTCCAGAGCTGTGTGCGCTTGGGCCAGCTGCTGTGCTTTTCAGTCAGTCTTGCTTGGCTGCCCTGCGCTCTGCCAGGAGGGGGCTGGAGAAGCGGGTTAGGGAGGGACTTGCCCCGGGGCAGCTGCTGCACGTCCCCTGCCAAGCTGGGCGAATAGCGTTGGGAAGTGGAATCCTCTGTCCAGCTGGCGCTGCTCTCCCAGCAGCGGCCGAGGAGCTGCGTGTGGAGAGCATCCTCCGCCTGGGAAGGAGAGGCCAGCCACGCAGCACTTCCTGCCTCGATCCCAGCCCCGGCTTGGTGGCACCCGAAGTCCGAGGCAGCTGGCTGCTCTCCTTCCCTGGCACTGTCTGGATCACGGTGCTCGGGCTGATGCCCTCGTGGCGGGGCTAGTCCCGTGGCAGGATGAAGGGCTGCTTGGTCTGGGGCCACGACCTTCTGCCTCGTCACTTTCCTGCGGCGCTTTGGTTTCTAGGTGATCAAGAAGAACAAGCGGGAGCGGGACGAGGACAGCTTGCACCACACCGACCTGTTCGACAGCCACATGCTGTGGTTCCTCATGCACCACCTCCGACAGAGACGCCATCACAGGGTAGGTGTCCATCCCACTTGCCTGGGCTTTCTGGTCGGCCCTAGCCAGGAGGTATCTGAACATTTGCCTGTCCCCGTGGCCCTGCTGAGTGGCAGGTGCTTTCTGTGTCTCGCCCCAGCACGTGGGGAGCAGAGAAGGACCAAGGCGGCTTCTGACTTGGCCGACTCTCCTCCTCCTTCCCAGGCTTTTCCTGCTCCCCTGCATGAGCCTGCCTAGGAGACGGGGTCTGTGCTGCCCTGTGTGGAACAGCTGGATTCTCCGTCTCCTGCAAGGCCACATTGGCTGGTGCCCAGAGCACGGGGCTCCGAAGGTTCTTTTCCTGGCTTGGCCATTAACTGTCAGAGGAGGAAAGCTGGGTTCTTTCCATTAAAGCTCCAGCCAGCTGGGCCAGCCTCCTGTGACTCCCCATCTCCTCTGCAAACCTGGCCCCCTTGTCTCCTTGGCTTGTTTGCCCTTCGTAGGCGGCGGCAGGCCTTGCTGTCTGCTGAGGGCGCTGAGCTGAAGGGGACGGGCTGACCTCCTGTTCTTTGGTTTGGCAGCGCCGAAGAGAACCCGGAGCAACAGACGGTGACTCGGACGAGTCCCCCAGCTCCTCTGACACCTCGGACGACGAAGAGGAGGGTCCAGACCGGGTGCAGTGCATGCCTTCATGAGACCGCCAAGGCCGCAGAACCCGTGAAGGGTGGGGTGAAGGGAGGAGACACACACATCTCTACTAACAAACACCTTCAGCTTTTTATTGGAATGTTAAGGAACCCCCCAGCTCCTCACCCCCCACCTCCCTGGGGCGACCAGCCTAGCAAGATTGCACTTTGGACTCGCCTTTGCTTGTGGGGCTCTAGGAGCCCTGGCCGGGAAGGGGTGGGGGGCGGAGTGTCAGAGAACCCTGCATTAAGAGACAGAGCATTAGACCCTGTGTGGCACGGCCTGTGGAGAGGAGGCCTGTGCTGTTTGGGTACTAGAAGATTTTTCTGGAGGAGGGTGCACCTGGGTTCCACACCAGCCTCCTCCCAAGAGCTTCTCTTGAGCCTGCGTTGAGTTGTTTGGTTTTTCCTTCCTCTTCTCGAGCTGTTGGTGTGAGCCCGAGAGGCATTCTGCAAGCTTGTGCTTTGGGGGCAGGGTCCCGTGCGACTCTCTTGGTTTGGTTTTGCCCCTCCAGCCGAGAGATCTTTGACTCTGCTTCTCTCCAACTGGGGCCTTCCCTCCTTTCCGTGTTGGGTTCCTCCTCCCTCCCCGTGCTCCCTGACCTAAAAGTCTCCACAGAGCTTGTGTTTGGGATCCCTCCTGCAGAACCTGTTGTCATGCCTACTTCCCACCCCATCCTCCCCCAGCCCGGGGGGCTTGCGAAGAGATGCTTGCCTAGTTTGTACATATCAGTGATTTGCACTTGGTTTTGCTCCTTCTCCTGACCCCCTCGAACAATAACACAGAGAGCGAGGGCTCGGCATGAGACTCCAGCGGAGGGGGCACGTTTGCCAGAGGAAGGGCAGCAGGATCAGCCTCTTCACGGAGAGGGGAGAAAAGGAAGGTCCTTTAATTTTCTGTTACTTTTAAGAAAATCTCTTGTTTTGGGAGCTGTGGCCAGGAGTTGCCCCATCACTGTTTAGAGGCCTAATTTTATATCTATTAAACACCAACCGAACCAAATTGAACTTGGATGTTATCAAGTTAAAATTATTGTCAAAGTTGAAATATATATTATATATAAATGCAATAAAAAATTGAGAGCTCGCCCGTGGAGCCTGAGCGGCAGTGCGGGGGGCGGCGGGGGTCTGAGTGTCGCTTCCAAAGCAGGCTGGATGCCCAGCTGGGGCACATGCTTCTGCTTCTCCTTAGCGGCCGAGCAGGCGCTGCTCCCTGTTGAGGGTGCCGATGTGGCCCCGGCTGGAGCAGGATTGGGCCCCTGTGTGTGCCTTGGTGGGAGCTTGGAGGCTGCCTGGGTCCCCCAAGGCCAGTTCCCTGGTGGGCTGGGAGCAGAACAGCCCCATGGAGCACTGGGGAGGTGCCTCCCCCGCTGTGCAGAGTGCCCTCTTCTCTTCAGGGCTGTCCTTGAGAGATCGGGAGGCCTCGAGTAGACACTTCCCCTTCTGCTTTCCTCCCCCAGGACAATGGGTCCCTCTAGTCCAGCTGCCCTAGGGCTGGGAATTGTCCCCTGGGGTGTTCACTGCCTGGAATCCCAGCTGGGCCCTTCTTGGGCTCGCCACCCTGCACCAGGGCAGGGGCAGAGCCCAGTGCTCTGTTAGCATCTCCTGCCTCTTGCCCTTAATGGCATGGAGGGAGGAGAGATGGCTGGGGCTTGTCAACATCCTGCCCTCTCCCAGTGCGTGGGGCTGCCCTGCAGATCCCTGGCAGCTGGAGCTTGTGCTGGGCAGAGCCTGGCAAGTGAGGCCCAAAGGGGCAGGAGCAATGCGGCCCCTTCCAGCATTTCCCCCTCGCCAGCTCTCAGAAGGGGGCTCTCCTGGTGCCTCTCTAATAATTGGGTGTAGGAAGGTCTGGGCAGCTGCCCCACTCCCATGTCGTCAAGCCCAGGCACTTCTGGTGTCTCCCTGATGATGGGGGTGGGAAGGTCTGGGCAGCTGCCCCGCTCCCATGTCAACAAGCCCAGGCAGGGTCTGAGATGCTGCTCACGTAGTCTTAGGCCTCCCTGGTCCCGGGGAGGTGTGGCGAGTGGATCCTGCCCCACCCCCAGCTCCTGCTTGGTGCTGGATTGTGCCCTAGGCTGGGGCCAGGGTGCCCAGCAGGAGCTGAGCAGCCTGCTGGAGGCAGGACTGGCCCTTGGCACACAGGAGTAAGTTGGGGGGGGGGAGGGACGGCTTCCTTGGATTCTCTTGGTCCTGTTCCCTCTCCCTAGGCTGGGCTCTGGGAGTTTGTATTTAAAAGCCTTTAACAGCTGCCAGGCCCTGCCACTTGCCTTCCTCTCCTGCGCCAGGCTCCTGCTGCCTGCCAGGGCTTGGCCTGGCCTGCGGGGGTCTGGGCCAGGAACATGGCCCCTGCCTGTCGCCATATAGCCCTGCCAAGGGCCAGGGCAAGAACTGTTCTGCTGCCTGGGCTTTGCCACCCCCGACTTCCCCAGGGGAGCAGCCAGGGCTTCCCTGCTGGACCACCCCTTTGGCTTCTGGGTGTGTGAGAGCAGAAGCTCCATGGATCTGAGCACCAGGGTTGTCTCGTCTCCTCTCCTTCTCTTCCCCCCCCCCCCCCCCAGAGCAGCTAGGGCCAGCTATAGCATCCTGGGTTGGTGCCCTAGCTCTGTGCCCTGAAAACTGGCTGCACATTTCCCCCTCCGCTGTCAGGGATGAGCACAGGGCTCTCCCTTCTTCCCTCAGCTGGGCCTAGTCCCACTCACCCTAGGCCATGCCCCTCCAAGGCCCTGTGCCCAGCCAGGGCTGGCTAGTACATAAGGGGCCCTGTCAGCTGCTGCCTCCTGCACAGTGTCTGGTCTGGAGGGGTGGATGGCTAGTGATTTGTTCTCCCTGGGCCACTAGGCAGCACTACTGTCTCTTCCCTCAGCATTTCTCTCCCAACCCCCTCAACCTCTGCTCTTCAGGGCAGGGTGCTGCCTGCCTCACTTGTCCCACCTTGGCTGGCCCTGCTCTCTCCAGTCTGTTCAAGTCCCTGCCCCATTCCCTAGCCTCAGTTTCCCCCTTCCTACATGGGATGGGAAGGGCTGTGGGCTGCTGAGCCAAGGGGGCTGCAGCCTCAACATGGGGCAGCTGGCCTGCAGCTTCTACCTTTCCTACCCCTCCAGCTGGCTCCTCCCCCACTGTTCTCAGGGGCTTGGCTAGGCACTTTACTCCCTCAATTGCCGGGGAGTTGGGGCAATTGGAAAGATGGGGGAGGGGGGAGAAGGAAACTGAGGCCCAAGCAAAGTTGACCTGGGCTAAGGCTACTTTTGATGGAGCTGGCACTGCAGCCCAGGGCCCTGCTACTGGAGACACAGTCCTGCTGCCAGCACCAGTGGGAGCCTGTAGCCCTAATGCATGCACCTTCCCTCCTGTTCTCTCCCCTCTGCTCTGCCCCAACCCTGGAGGTTCCTTGTTACTCCCCAGTGGCTGAACCTTGGAGCCAGGGCCTGGGGTCTGTTCCTGCCTGAATGCTAATTGGCTGCAGAAGCTGCTGCTGGTGCTGTGGTCCTGGGCTTGTAGGGCACGGCTACAGCTGCAGACCCTGCCAGGGGCTCGGCTGGGCAGTGCCGTTGCTCCTTCCCTCAGTCCTAATGCGCTCGAGCCATCCGTGGCCCTGTGCGCTGTTGGGGGGTCTGCAGCGCCTGGCCCTGAGTCCTTTGGTAGGATCCTGCTGCTGCTGCTGGGAATCCCAGGGCTGGGGGAGCCAGGCCGCTGCTGCAGGCGTGTGGGCAGGGCCAGGCCTTGGTCTGGACCCGGCCTCTGCAGCCTTTCTCTTGGCACGTTCTCTGGTGTCTTTCAGCTTTGTCCCTTCGCTGCCTGCTGCAGCCATCCCTCCTCCCAGCCCCGGCTTTGCTGTGGGCTGTTCCCTCGGTCCTGGCGTCTTCCCTGGTTCCATCGATTGGCTAAACGGCGGGAGCGTCTCCTGGGACCATAGCGCTGCTTGGTCATCCTGCGCCAGCACTCGGGGACAGGGATGTACTGTCTGCCCCTGCCCAAGGAGAGCTCTGCGAGAGCCTGGCCCCAAGGGAGGGACAGGGCTGAGCCGCTTGGCAGGTGCTGCCGGGACTTGGCAAACCAACTGCACACCCAGGTCAGACGGGAACCCTCACAAACACTGGAGACAGAGAAAGGTCTGTGCCCTGGAGCCTCCGGAACTACCTGCCACTGGAGGCTGGTGTCCACATACTGGCGCTGCTAGTTGCGTAGGTCACAAGAACGTTCACCTCAGACATGATCCTGGGCTGGAGGAGACTCAGGTTTACTGGTGTCCACATACTGGCGCTGCTAGTTGTGTAGGTCACAAGAACGTTCACGTGCACCTCAGACACGATCCTGGGCTGGAGGACTCAGGTTTACCGTGGGTGGGGTGTAACTCCCTCTTTAGGGTGCCAGTAGAGCCCCCCCATTTCATTATTGTGCCCTATGTGAGGTCAAGGCCCCATCAGGCCTGCAGAGACAGCCAGAGGGAGGCCTACTTGCCTCAGGATCCCATCATGCTGGCTGCTGCATGGCCACAGGATGGGAGCTATTCCTTGCCCCAAAAAGGACTCAAGGGCACTGGAAGGAGGTGCCCAGACCCAGGAAAGGGTAGCAACTGCCCCAGGTCCCCTACATCTCAGCAGCTGTCCTTGCCCAGGCAGGCTTGTGCTCACCCCACTGCTTGTAGGGGGAAGGGGTTGGTGCTGGTTAGGGGCTGGGACAGCTTCTGTAGGAGGAGAGACTGAAATGCCAGGGCTGGCCCTGCTGGGAGAGGAGATGCTTGCGGAGGTGGGGGGCGGGACAGGACTTTATAACACCACGACGGGGTGGAGGAAGCGAACTCGTGGCCAGGGCCAGGGGCTGTAGTGAAGGCCCAAACTCGTGGCCAGGGGCTGTAGTGAAGGCCCAAAGCATCACTGGGCTTCACAAAGCATGAGGCAAGTTCTTGGTGGGTAGATCTTCTGATGGCCATGAGCCAAGGCGGTGAGAGGCACCACTCACAAATCTGGGACAGGCGCACGGGATGGATCGCTCCCTGCTGGCCCTGTTCTGTTCGTTCCCTCAGATGCAGCTGGCACCAGCCACTGTCAGACAGGGCTCAATGGGCCATTGGCCGGTCGTGTGGCCTGTTACTGGGGTCACTGTGGCAGGAGTGGGGTGGTGGCTGCGTGGGCCAAGCCAGCCTGCAAGGTACGGAATGAACTGTCACAACAAGCACCCCCCAGAGTGTGAGCCCTCCCCTGGCCCCCAGAAAGGGCAGCTGTGATCTTACACAGGCACCGGTTAGAGTCAAGACAATTGGTTTTTATTTGATCACAACAACTGGTTTGTACATCAGCTCTGGACAGACCAAGCGAAGCGACTCTGGGTGTTTGACCCTTTCCCCTCTCGCAGTTTGCTCCTGTTTCCGGAGCGGTGGCTGAAGACTACGTGAGAGGGCGGAAGGTGGGGCACGTTTGAACAATCAATGCAAATCAGGGGGCAGGGAATCAAACCCACAACCTCACAGATACGATTCACACTTAGGATGCCTGCACTGCCTGTGGCTGGTCCCAGGCTACTGCTGGCCTTGCACCCTCTGCACTGCGGCTATATCCGGGCAGGGCCCCAGTAGCTGGCCTGTAAGGTTGGGGAGGGTTTGGAGCAGCTCCTGGCAGGGGAGGTCAGATCAGTGGGCCCACTTGCATGTCCGTGGCTGCAGCATTCCAGCCCTCTCCCCATGGATGGGGAGCAGGCTGTGGGCAGAATTTGGCCCCAGCTCCAAGCCTGCAGCACAGCTGGTACCCGCTGCGAGCCCATCACTCTGGGATTCTGGGATTCAGCAATAACCTCCAGTTGCTTAGAAATGCTAGGCCAGCCCATCTTGCTGGCAGAAAGCAGGTCCAGCCAGCACGGCCATGAGCATCTCTCCTGCTACACCAAAAAGCCCCCGGCTGGGCTTTGTGGCTGGATGGGGGGGGGTGTGTGGAAGAGGCTGGTGGGGGTTAAGGCAGGTTCCGACCAGCCGGGCTTGTGCGACTCCGTGAAGAGGTGCAGGTGGAGTTAAGGCAGGTTTGTTGCTGTGTTGGGAAGCGGGGTGGTGGAGTGGTGCAAATCCAGTGCAACATGCAAGCCCTGGTGAAACTGGGT